AGAAGAAAATTTTTTTGGTCGCTACCCGGAATCGAACCCAGGACCTTTGAATGAGAGGCCAACACCATAACCTCTAGGCCACAAGAGCCCCCATTTTCTGTTACATTGATAGGAACAAATTTTAATTGCAAAAAGCTGAACTATTTCAACACATTCCTTTAGGCTAAAACAGCACCTGGACATGGATGGCTGGTGCCTCTATAAATAAATCATTGATGGTCTGGTTCAACACCATCCTTTAATTCATTCATATTGTTAGGGACATTCTGTATAACCATGTCATAAATTTGTCACCAGTACAGATAAAGTAAGACGTGTATGTGCGGCGTCGTGGTGAAATTGGGCGCTCCTCAAAATAATGAAATCAAAGAAATTGGCATTCTTCTGACTGTTGAGAATTTTTTTTCTCAATTTCTTTTTTTGACTCAACACCTCTTATATCCATTTAAAAACACATTTCTGTGTGGATTTTACAGAAAAATTGCTTAAAGGCACAAATAATATCAATTTTCAGTTTCTAAGGACTCTCAAGCTATGGAAACTACCAAACTTTGGTGACTATTTTCTCGCTAATTTCACCTCTGAAACCAGGCGACCCTGGCCTCCTTCAATTGCAAATATTTTGACTTCTATTCAACACAGATGGATATTTTTTTCACAAAAAAGCAAGGCAAATGAACAGGCTTTAAGATGGAACCGATAACCCTATATGCCCAAAAGTTGACGAGCGCCTGGTTCCCCCACATCGTAACATGTATGCCAAGCTTGCCGAGTCATAAGCTTAGTTTTTAGTTTTAGTAAGAGTTTTAGGCAACTTGCAACACAATCAGGTCATAAAAGTGCCGAAGATTAGAGGTGTTACAAGCGAGTAACAAACACAAAAAAGAAGGAGGAGAGATGAGGACGACAGAAGTTAGATAAGAAAGAAGAAGCAAACCACACCAGAGCACACGCCAACCACCAACATCGTAAGCTTAGCAATTAGGGCTGGGCCACGAGCGCGAGAACGGAACTGAATCGCCACTCTTTCCTGCGGAACGCGATTCATGATTCACTTCAGCAGAACGCGGAACA